AATCAATCCAATAAACGACCAGATCAGAAAAAAAAACCAAAGCTTCCTATTTCTTTGCTTAAATTTCACAAAGTTTTGCAATAACTCATGGTAAGTCACAGTGATGGCAGTGATGAAAAATTGTGATACGCCACAAAAAATATCCAGAAAAAATTGCGAAAAATTGTTTGGGAAATTTTTGTTGAAAACTTTGTGGAAAAAAATTACGAAGAAATCAAAAGTAGCGTACGAGTGCTTGAAAATTGTCCGATTCTAATCTACAGACCATTAGCCTTAAATCAAACCTTTCGTGTCTTGAAAAAACTTTAATCACCGGCTCACTCCACTTTTATGTTGGTACTACCACACGTCACAATTTGCTGTATCCCAACCTCTACAAAAACGAACCGACACGAACTAATAGCTGATAAGTAGTGCCGTGCCGTGGACGAAACGTTAACTATCCGTTTACAAAATCAAAGGTTCTGCCGAGTTTCTTATCTACATAAGGTTAAATTAATATATGAGGCGAGAGAAATATTGAAAAAAGAGTTGTTAGAATATCATAGCTCTTTGAAAGAGGCAATGGAGGCTAAGAACCGATGTGTGAGAGTTCAAAGGCTAGTAGAAAACTGCAAAGGTGTATTCGAAACATTTTTTCTGGAAGAATGAAGCTTTCACAAACATAGCAAAAACTTGTCAAGATCCATGCAAACTTTGAATGGATTTGGAAGCGTATATACACCGGATAACTTGTAGAAAGGATCACTTGATCCAACAGGCCATTTTTTAACTTGATTGCATGTCATTAGATGATGACACTGAAGCAAAATCATATGGATCAAAAGCCCCCGCTGCATCTCTATGATCTAGTCTTCTTCATAGTATTTGATCTAAAGCAAGTTCAATGATCCCCAGTGAGAGAGAAAAAAAGTTTTGCTTGCATATCTGCAAACAGTGGAGATATAAAGGCAAATTAATGCGGCTTTAAGATTCAGAGAAGGGAAAGATAGACTAGAATGCGAGAAAAAGAAAATGGAAGCTTATCATCAAGCGATTGAATAGGAAATAAAAATCAGTTGTAGTAGAAAATTTTTTTAAAGGGAACAACAGGAGCTGCAATTTCACATCAGTAGAGAACAAAAGAGATTTCAGTTCGAAAAATTAGCTGAAGAGAATAGGAAAAAGCTAGCCGAGGCCAAAACAGCAGAAACTGAATTCCAAGATGACCTCACCGAACCGATGACGATACTCGCAAGTCTGATTTACCAGCTGTCATTCAATTATCGGGGCCAGGCGGCAAGCGTACTGCTGATTGGGTTGACAATACAGCAGCGGAGACTGGAAATGTAACACTGATAAATCCAAGCCATAATGCTGGATTTCCGATTGTCAATTCATCAGTTCTTTTAAGTTCGGCTGTACCAAATCTTTCGGGTATGGTTTGCACGCCATCTCAAGATGGCGTACCATTGCTCGAAATAAAACAGCAACACTTAGCGATTTTGTTCCTACATAAAGCAGTTTGTCGGTAGCACGTTCTTTTACAGCGCTTGTGCCGTCATATTTACGAAATGTTCCGCTGACTTCCGATCCGTACATATCCAATAACCCAGTTAATAATGTCTTTTCTCAAAGTGAAAATTTCATTCGACCGTCGATGAGCGTTAAAGCATCTGCTGCTTCATCTACCCATTGAATTCGGGTGCATATGTTTCCAATAACATGAATAGCCCAATGCTTCCCTCTCAAATTCCTTCAAACACTCAACTGTCTTATTTTAGTTTTAACAACCAACTTAGAAACTCAAACTGGATGCCTGCTGCTATTCGATTTTCTAAATTGTACTAACAATAACAATATGACGCAAAATGACGGGCCGGTAAATATGAACGCTTTTACACCCTTCACAAGCGGTGGCGTTGTATACTCTACTGCACCTCCGAGTATGCCACAACATCCGTCTGGCTCCCAACAGCCTACAGACATTCCAGTCTACACACCCGTACAACCAGCTCCATCAGACACCACTTAATCGTCATCTTCGTCATCTAAGCATGTAACGCTCGAAGACTTAGCCGCCATTTTTTTCATGAACAGGAAAACCAATGAACAGGAAAGACCTGAATGGAAGCTTACACACTTTAATGTAGGTTCTCTAGTGTGACACTTGACCAACGATGTAAAACTTGCTCACCTAAAAGCTCTGGTTACAGGTAAGGCAATAACCGCAATTTCTGAGTTTGCTTATTGTGGTGACTAGTGTACTGATGCTCTTAAACTCTTGAGCGTAATTTTGGTCAAGCTCACGCAGTTTAAGCGCTCATTTAGATAAACTGAGCGACTTCATACCAATTAGGATGCACAAATCCAAGTGTGTGATTAGTTTTACATCTACGATATTGAGCTTGGTGGCAGCTTTAAAATCCCTTTCCTACTACTCAGAGATTTAGAGCACGTCGATCCCCAATCAAGCGATTGCAAAGTTACCTACAAATACGTCAAAGGAAATTGGCCCCGACCAGCGTAAGTTGAATTCAATGAGTGGTTACAGAAGAAAGCGGTCGCGCATGAGCGCTTGCGCACAACATCAGGTAAGCCGAGAACTTAAGAAGTTACCAAGAGCAAAGCCGCAACTAAGCTGTTCTCTTCAGTATGCGCACGGAAAGCAGCGCTATTTTTCAATATTTTTTGCTGGCAAGATAATCATCCATTGTGAAAGTGCAGCGTTTTTAGAGATAAGAAAGCAACGCAAAGAGCCAAGCCTTGCGGGGACAATAATTTTTTTTTGCTTGCCTTAAGGTTAATCACCAATAGCGAAAATGGCCTAAAGCCAGAAAATGTTTCAGGCCTAATTGCGACAGCACTAATAATCTGCTGCTGCACGGCGCAGAACGAAATTTTCCTCCTCGAGAACCAGAACAACGAGCAGCCAATGCTAACAGTTTGGCTACTAATACCAGCATGGAAAACACGCCTAAGACAGCCGCAGAAGCGAAAACTGTTTCTAAACTGAGCTTATTTTCCGCATCTCTCAGCGTCTTGAGGAATGGTCTTATCCCTGTGATATAGTTAGAAGTTCCCTTCACTGGCACCAGTACCAAAGCGTTGATTTTGTGCGACAGTGCTTGCAGCAACTGATACATGTCGTGAAGCCTTGCAAAATTCCTCAATTCTGAGGGACAAAGTTTAAAATTAACCGTCAAGGGAATCGATACTACAGAAGTCATTCCTAATCAAAAAGCTGATGTTATTGTATCCGCAGAAACTGCGGAATCCAAATCTGGTTTTGAAAATCATTTTACATTCGAGAAACCTTCAAAATTGGTCTAAAACAGATAATGTGGCTTTGCCTCAAGAAACATACTCCGTCAGTCTTAAGATATTCAGATGTAGAGTTCATCCTAGGACAAGACTTTTTTTATTTTATCAGACCGTTGGAGTACTTTCATTGCCGGGACCAAAACTTGCCTCTAGCCGTCCGTTTACCCGTTGGTTGGGTTTTGAGTGGTCGTTTACCGATCCAATCTGGTTTAGTCTCCACTTACTTCCAAAGTCACTTTGAGGATGTAACTCTTTCCGATCAAGTCAAGTGGTATAGTCATTTGGTACATACAAATAGCCGATAAAAGAACCTCTAGCAATCTGACGTCCTCGTAAAATTTTTTATGTAATTCAAGTTGAACCGCATGACCCAAAACGCGCCGTAACCGTGAATGATACCTACCGCACCACCCAGTCATCAACCCATACAAACCCGGAAAGTTCCAAAAAGTGTTAAGTGGAGCTTCCAAGTTTCATGGGTTTCCGCTAAACAAATCGGTTCTAGTTGGTCCAGGTTTGTCGCAAAGCTTACTGTATGTTTTACTCCGTTTCCGTCAATATAAGATTGATACATCCGCAAAAACCAAGGGAATGTTTCTCCAAATCTTCCCCAAGACCATCGTTTTTTGCGTTTTCTGTGACGTGAAGACCCATCAACAGAAAAGATGGTACTATCAATACACACGTCAAATATTTGGAACACATGGCTCACCAACGTGCGCTAATTCTGGTCTACAACAGACAACTTAAGATAATGAGTCCAATTATCCTGAAGCCGTTTGCGAAAAAATTCAAATGAATGACTACTTTGACTCCATGCCGAAAGCTGAACAAGCCGTGAACCTCAGTTGAGATTTTCTTAAGATGCTGAAAAAATGAGGTTATAAAAGGAACAATTTCTTCAATGTTATTCCTGAGATCTCAATGAAGCTAAACCTGAATACCAAAGAAATTGAATAAGTTAGAGAAATAATCGTAAAGCCCGATAGCCTGTCTCTTGTCTTAGGCCTGAAATCGGATCACTTAAAAAACACCCTGGTAGTAAGTCGAAGTGTAAGTCGCGAGTTG